GGGGTGAGCCTCTGACCCTCATCTACCTAACACATCCCTCTGCCTACCCAGGGGCCCCACCCGGGACAGGAGCAACCTGGAAGGATGCCCCTTAGAATGAGTCAGGGATTTATCTGAGCAATAAAGACTTGGAGCAAATGAAATAGCAGTGCGGGTCTGTTCCGTTTCGGGGGAATACTTTGATAATCCAGCAAAATAATTACAGGTGCTACCTGGCTTGGTTCGTGTTTGAGGCTGGCATTTTGCACTTGAGAGAGAGAGAGAGAGTGTGTGTGTGTGTGTGTGTGTGAATGTGCTTTTAACAATGTTTTGGCTCAGTAAAAAATTAAGGATTGGTTTATATGGGGCTCACGGTTCATCAAATTAGTAGGTTTTATTCTTGTCTTTGGTCTGAAGTTCAAAGTTCAAGAGAAACTCTTGAAAGTTGAGAGTTTAATTCATCTTTGATTTCCCCAGAGCCCAGAAGAGTGCTTGGCATTTATTGGGTGCTCCATAAATGTCAATTGATTTAATCAATGCCAATGTAATATAGTCCAAAAGCTATAGGAAGCGGGCCTACATTGGTTAGGGCTTTTAGTTGCCGGCGGGAACAGTGAGGAGCTCTGTGTGTTGAGGGTCACATGGGTCACAATTCTGTTCAGAAGCTGAGAGGTAGCTAGTCGACCTCTGGCAGTTCTATAGGCATGGCACCTACTAATTATTGACTGCTACACAGCTTGCTCTCTGCGAAGCAATGTACATAGTTGGCTTCACTAAACGCTCACAACAGCCTTGAGGTGGCCATTTCACAGATTAGGAAACAGAGGCTCAGAGAGACCACGTGTCCTGTGCGCGCTCACTGAGCGAAACCATGGCAGGTCGGGCGTCCTGTTCCAAAGCCCAGCTCCTGACCCCCACTCCTGACCCCTCTCCGTCCCTGGTAATCTTCCTGCAGTCCATTCCCAAAGCGACTCCTCCGTGCGGGGTTTGAGAAACATTAGTCGTGCTCACTGCGCTTTGCTGCCTGGCTTTTTGGATCGCAGATGTCTTGGGAAGCCTTTCCTGGTGCCACTTGTCTTTGGTTTGTTCTTCTTGAAAACCTTGTTCACCCAGTTGGAGTCTTCAGCAGGGCTCGCCCTGGGCAAAGAAAGGCGGTAGTGGTGTGTTAGCGACCTGTCAGGTGTCCTTCACTGTCAGGTCCCTGCCCTAACTCAGAAAGCAGCAGACACGCCAGCGCTGTGATTCTTGGCCCTGGGAGCGTCAGGCTTCCCCAGCGACCTTTATTTTGTAATCAACGAATATGTATCTGAGTCATATGCCAACTAGTCAACAGAAACTCAAACTTTTATAGTCATCTGTCAATGCAATAAAGTTTAAATGATGTGAATAAAATGCATAATTTATGCCCACGCACAAAATTATTAAATTTATGAAAACTCTTTCAAAAAGTTCTATAATTAAAATTCTACTAAGCGAAAGAAACAGGTCTATTTTAATGTATTTGATATGACATGATATGGAGTGGGAACATCAAAAGTAAGAGGCCTGCTCCCCCAATCCCTGCCTCTGTGGCCACAGAGAAGGCCAGCCGCTGCCAGAGCTGCCCCGTGGCAGGGGTGAGGTTGGGGGGCAGAAAACCCTTGACCCTGCTGGTGCCTTCCACTGGCTAAACCAATTGCTTTCCAGCCAGTAAGGGAGCCTGGGAGCTTAAAAACAGAGAGAACCCCCCCCAGGCCCTCTTGTAACAACTGCGAAGATAATCATGGAATACACGTGACACGGCCCCGCCTATGTTTCTGATAAGAAAGGTTTTTTGGGGGACAATCTATGACATAGGACTGTCAGCCTCCTTATTAGGCTGATAGAAAATGATCTGGATGAAGGGAGGCTCTCGATTCATGGCGCCCAGGGGCTGCAGGGCTGAGCAGCACGCCTGCTCGCTCCCTGGGACTGAGATGTCCCCAGAGGCCCAGTGCGCTCGGGGAGGTGCATGCCCAGCGTGCACAGCAGGCCAGTGTCCCACACGTTGTCCCCACTAAAGAAGAGAGCAGAGGAAAGGATCCCAGTGTTCCTGGGGCAGCTAACGAGATGGAAACTGTCACTGAGCGGCTCCCCCCTCCCCGCCCCCATCAAAGGACAGAACACGACCTCGGTGAGGGAGAAACTTACGGGGCGTCCTGCTGGCTGCTGGCTTCCTTCACGCTCACCAGAGGCGCTGCGCTTTGGGGGTTCAAAGAGGCAGGAGGAACTACAGCCAAAAGTAAAAAGGTAGGAGATGGAGTGAGGCGACCGGGGGAGGGGCACTTAGTCATTTCTGATATAACAGTAGCATAGGACCACAATCTTATTGTTGGACTTGACTACGAGGCAGTGGCGTCTGTGGAAGGGCGATGCTGGGCCTCCGTCGAGCGTTATCAATGGTCCCTCGCAAGCAGCTGTGCGAGGGAAAGTTTTCAGAAAAAACCCCCAGGGGCCTGGGCCTGCCACCACCTGCTCTATGCACTGCCTTTTTCTTGGAATAGAAAATATTAATCGTTTTATGACCACTGTTCTTAGGTAAGCTCTTTGCATGTCTTCAGAGTATGGGGATATGTAAAACATAACAATTAACATATAATTATGTAATACATGTGAATAAAAATAATATGGAATCTGTTTACATTCCTGAAGTCCTTTCATTTGGGGGCCTGGTGGATATCTCAAATCTAGTTGCGGTTCCTTTGTTTACGGATTTTCCTAGGGTTTCTTGCAGTACTCCACCCCCAAGAGCATGGCTTAGGCGTCACAGAGGCTCAGCTGGGGCTGTAACCCTCAGCACCACGGACAATGAGGGCCTGACCATTGTGGGGCTGCTCTGTGCATCGCAGGAAGGTCAGCAGCATCTGGCCTCCAGGTATTGCCAAACGTCTCCTGGGGGTAAAATCGCCCCAGCCGAGAAGCGCTGGGCTCTCTGTATCCTCTGTCCACCCCAGGATGAGTGAGGAATGCCACCCAGGGCCCAGGATTGCTCAGGTGCCTGAAGGTGGCCACCTGTAGGCACAGGTGTGATAACATAAAATAAAGACATTTTATTTAACAGGAAATAAGAGAGCATGTGAAACACTTTGACCAATTGTCTGACTCTTAATATCCTTATATTTTTGTCTCATGGTGATTAAAAGAATCAAAGTAAACCTATTCCACAGAAAGCGTCACCGTGACTTGGGCAGATCTGAAAAGAAGGAAAGCTTGCTAATCTGTGCTACTGTTAACCCTAATAACTACGGAGGTTTGGCTGATGGACCATAAGGACCCCACAACCTGGCTTCATTCCACGATCAGGGCCCTGTCCCTTTGCCCCATCCTGACCATCCACAGCGGCCAAACAGGTATCCTCTTCATCCCGGATGTACCTTTGATAGGGGGTAAGGCCACACAGTAAGAATGGGACCACAGCTGTTTTAATGATTATTCCCCTTACTAACTATAGATAACAGGTTTTCCTACAGACCCTGGGAAACTGGAGGGTGTGCTGCAAGAAGAAAGACAGAGCTGTAAAAAAATAGACACATTGGGGTCTGGATGGGTCCGCTGCTCAGAAAAGAAAATGCATTTTGAGAACAGACAAAGGACAGGAGACACTTTGATTTGGTTGCTGTGCCTGGACCCTGACCCCCTGCAGGAGTTTGCCTCAGGAATGCTGACCATTCTCTGATCCCATGAATGTGTAGAGCTGTTTTTAACACCATTGAAAATTAACTACCTTGTTATCGCGCTTCAAGATCCTGGAAGGAGACACATGGACCATGGACCCATGCAGCATTTCTTTCTATTCCTATATAATCAGCCAGCTCGTAGGAGGTGTTAGAGCAGAATTTACAGGACGACCTGCTGCTCTCCCATACTGCCGGCATTATTGGAATAAACGCTCACATATGATTCAACCCTGTCTCTGCTTAATTTGGCTCAAGTAGTGACAGGCAGCCCAGACCCATTGTGTCTGGTTTCATCTTGCACTTTCCTTCCTTGCACCCGAGCTTCTAGAATGAACAAAATCTGAAACGGTCTTTTCACTCTGTCCAATCCCATTCCACAGACCATGATGGTCAGTATCCCACCCATGTCAACTCTTGGAGATGACAATCTCCAAGAAGCCTTCCTTACTCCCCCAGAGAGCACTGATAGTATTCTCTGTGAATACTAGTTATATACAACTTAATTTATCTTGTATTTTTTAGTTTGGTTTCCATGCCATTCTCTGTGCTGGGGGGAAGACTTCCTGAGAGTGAGGAATTGTATTGTTCATCTCTGTAGCCCCTAGAACAGTGCCTCTCAACCTATCTGCAGCAAAGAACCAGCTATTTAAAAATCTTATTTACAATCCATAATGGACCGATACTCTTGTGAAATCCAATCAAAAAGAATTAGGAAAGTTCTTCGGCACCGTGGCTCTATCTTATCGCTATAAACATTTCTAAATGCTACTCTCAATTTCTGTGCTCATTTCATTGTGAACTAGTAACAAGTAGTTAGGGGACTGGCAGTGTCCACAGACCACCCACAGACCATCCTGGCACAGTGGCGTTCACAATAAAATTTACCAGAACAGCATTTTCAAATATAAGCGGGCAAAAGAATCAGCTGCAGGGCTTGTAGAAAAGACAGCTGGGTCCCACCCTCTGAGTCTGTGATTTAGCAGGTCTGGGGTAGGGCCTGAAAACCCTCCTGTCCAATGAGTTCTCAGGTGATGCGCCGCTGCTGGTGGGAAACACACTTGGAGACTCACTGGACTAAGGAAATGAACAAACGTCAAGCACGCTGCCCTCCTGTGGTTCCCTGTCCTCAAGCCGGGCAGAGCCTCTATAGCTAACGGCTGACTTGGCCTGCGCAGCCCTCGGAAGCAATGGTTTCGGCCACCATGTTGTCATATGCTTGCCGGGGGGCTCCAGACATAAGAAAGCCCTGAAGAGCCAGAAGGTCCATACCTTGGGGCTGCCCTGAGCCCAGTTCCTCCACGGGTGGCTGTGCAGGTGATGAAGAACACTGAGGCGACGTTTGAGGTGTCCTCCCAGCTGGAGGCCCCAGGGGCGGCCTGAGCAACAGAGATGACTGGGAGGGTGGGGATTCGGGTAGGGATCCAGTCAGTTGTACCTGCTGCTGTGGTGACATGGGTGATAGACCCAGTGCTGAGCTGGGCGGTGAGGGGACAGCTGGGAGTGATATAGGTGGCGAGTCAGTTGGAGAACGTGACAATGGAGAGGCCAGTGGCGACGCAGGTGACTCCTCAAATGAAGAGACAGGTGGTGAAACAGGTGACTTTACAGGCCACTCACGTGTGGATTCAGGTGTCTGTACAGGTGGGGACACAAGTGGACCTTGGCCATCGGATTCTTCCAGACTGGCCTGCTCTGGTGGGAGGCTTGGTTTACTGTGTTCAGGACACTCGTCGCCAAGAGCGAGTTCTATCTGGCAGTACACTTCTACCCGGGGGAAAATCACTCTCCTGGAGGGAGAATTAAGGTAAGCGGCATCTAGGAAAAACAAGAGCATGGGTCACAGGCAGCATTACCAACCTTGACATCGGCATGGTGTCTGCAAAAAATGATTTTCCAAATTATTTTCATAAACACAATCAGTTCTCATCAATGGCTTTCCTTTACTTACTTGAATTTACACTGAGTATTTGATTGTGGATTAATTCACTTATTCAGGGGTATTTGTTGAGCCTTTCTATGTCCCCTGAGGGAGGGACATTTAAGCTGAGATCTGAAGGCCAGTGTTCCAGGATATGGCCAGGGTGGGATGGGGAAGAGCATTTCAGACAGAGGGAACAGCATGCACAAAGGCCACAGGTTTGAAGGGGCACCAGGTCGTTGAGGGCCTGAAAGGCGGTGTGGCAGGAGCCAGGGTGGGGCGCTGTGGTGGGAGACGGGGCTGAGGAGGCCCATGGACCAGATCTCGCAAGGGCCAGCAGGCACTACTGAGGACTCTTGATTTTCATGGAGGCCGTGGAGCCTTCTAGGCCGGGAGATGCCCACCTGACACTGGTTTTGACAAGGTCACTGTGGCTGCTGTGTGGAGACTCACTGACAAGGGCATGGGGACCGAGGGAAACCTGTCAGGGTGCTGAGGTGTTTGGGGCTTACACCTGGAAGAAGGTAGAAGGAGGCAGAAGATTCTGTTTAGGAGGCAGAATGAATGAGAAGTGGTGATGGACTGATTGGGGGGTGAGGGGAGGTAGGTGGCTTGCACAATCGGATGGATGCTGGTGCTGTCTGCTGAGACTATGACCATGGAGGGAGGGATCCGGGGGTGGGGAAGTGGGGAGACAGGTTATGACCTTGTTTTGAGACATGCTGAGTTTGGGAGGCCTTGGAGATGCCCAAGGAGAGATGACAAGTGGGCAGTTGTGTGAATGGGTTTGGCTCTCAGAGGAGAGATGAGGGTCAGGGAGCCCCACCTGTGGGGGGTCACCGAGGCTGGGCTGGTGGCTTGGGGGGGCTTGCCCAGGGGGCAAGCAGAGTCAGAAGAGGGAGGGGCCGGGTGGAGTCGGGACACAGGGAAAGGGGGCCTAGGGCAAGTCAGGCAAGACTGGGGTAGATGCAAAAGCTGCTGGTAAGAGAAATCACGGGCCGGGAGGAAATATTCACAAACACTATTCCTGACAAAGGGCATTTATCTAGGATACATAAAAGCTCCTGAATGAGGAAATGAACTATTCAGTTTTTTAAATGGGCAAAAGAGCCAACTGAAAGAGCCAAAGCTGGAACAATCTGAGTAAAAAGATAGAGCGGACTAAGTGGCAGGGTAGGAGACCAAGGTTCCGTGCAGAACTCCAAATACTTTACGTAGACATCCTGGCCTTCGAAAGGGGGAATCACGCCTCCCTTTCTCAGGGTGAGACTTCCTTCCAAAACGCACCGATGGAAAGAAGAGAAAGGGGACCTTCACCCGGAGAACCTGACACCCCCCTGCAGCCAGGTGGCCACGGGCGGCAGCTTCGGCGATGTCGCGTGGGCGGCGCGCCCCGGACATCCTGTGCCGAGAAGGGCGCCTTGGCCCTGCTGCCTTCCTCCCTCCAGCCCACAACCCCAGCTGAGGGACACCCTACAGAACATCTGGCCACTAAAACCCGCCGAAGCCACTAAAAACAAGGAGAGTCTGAGAAACTGTCACAAACAAGAGGAGCCGAAGGAGACATGACAACTGGATGGGATCCTGGATCTGAAAAAAACCATTAGGCAACAACTAAGGAAATATGAATAAAGAATAGACTTTAGTTAATAGTAATTTGTTAATATTAGTTCATTAGTTGCAAATAACATGCCATACTATGTACCAAATTATATATGCACCGTACTATAGCATCTAACAAATGTGAGACATGAAATAGGGAAACCTGGATGTGGAATGTATGGAAACTCTGTACTATTCTCATATTTTTTCTGTAAATCTAAAACTATTCTAAAAAATAAACTTACGACAGGTCTAGGGGGAAATGGGCAAAAGAGTTGAACAGACACTTCCAAAGAAGCTACCTGAACAACTAACAAGCACATGAAAAGATGCTCAGCATCATTAGTCAGCAGGAAAGGCAAATCCAAACCTCAGTAAGACACCACGCGAAGGAAAAGACCTGCCCTACCAAGTGTTGGGGAAATTGGGGGAGACCGGGGCTCTCATATGCTGCTGGTGAGAATGTAAAATGATACGACTGCTTTGGAAGACAATTTGGTGGTTTCTTAAAAAGTTAAACGTACATTCTGGGAATATGCCTCATTCCACATATATCCAAAATAACTGAAAATGAAATCCCAAAGAGATATTTGCACACCTATGTCCACTGCAGTCTTATTTACAACAGCCAAGAGGTGGAAGCAGCCCATATGTCCATCCCGAGTAAATGGATGGAGGAAATGTGGCACACACATTGGAATATTATGCAGCCTGAAAATGAAGAAAATCCTGCCACATGCTACAACGCGGACAAACCTTGAGAACATTCTAAGTGAACTAAGCCAGTCGCAAAAAGACAAATACTGCGTGCTTCGCCATGGGAGGGATGTACAGTGATCAAGCCCGTAGAAACAGAAAGGAGAATGGTGGTCGCCAGGGCTTCGGGGGAGGGAGGCATGGGCGGGCCCTGGCCAGCGGGCGCAGGGTTTCGGTTTTGTGAGATGAAAAGTTCTGGAGGTTGGCTTCACAACCATGTGAGAAAGGCCAACATCACTGGGCTGTACACTTAAAACAGGAGGTGGTACATTCTATGTAGTGTTTTTATCACAGTTTTATATATACAAATTATATATAATTATATAATAGAATGTAATTATCATAATTACATATAATTTGATTTATATATATAACACATCTACCATGTGATCTAATCATTCCATTCCTGGGTATTTACGCAAGAGAAATAAGATGCGCCCATGAATGTTTACAGCAGCTTTCTTCATAATAGCCCCAAGTGGATACAACTTAAATGCCCATTAACAGGTGAATGTCTAAGTGAACCGTGTGCATTCACAGGGTGGAACGGAATGTAGGCAGGAATGCACTATTTATATGCCACACGGTAACACGCGTGAGCCTTAAAATAATTACGCGGAGGGAAAGAACGCAGGCAAAAATCAGGCTTCACACTCTAAGAGTCCATTTATCAAAAACTCCAGAAAATGCAATGAATCGGTAATGACAGAAGTAGGTCGGGGGTT